TTGGTAAAATTATCGAAGTGTCCTGTTAAAATTAACAGAATAATTCTACCGTAAGGAAATATTAGAAACAGCTGTGAAACATAATTATAAACGCTTCCTCGAATTGCCTGTATCGTTGGAAAACGGAAATTTCCCAAAAATATCGAGAATCGATCGGCAGTGAAATAATGTGCGCGTGCGTGACGGTGAAGATCGAAAAATATATTTCTTTTTACAGCCGGAAAATACGTGAGCATTTGCATGTTTCGCGATTTCCATGTAGCTCGTTTGAATTGCAAGTCGAATAAAAATCAGTCCGTCCATGGATTACCATAACATCGTTTTTATTTCCCCCCCGTCGTTGTAATTCCGGGAATTAATATTCCCCGAACAGCGGGCGCTGTAAAAAGGCCAAAGGAGAGGACGGAAGACGATCTCGAACGACATTTCACGGCACAATGCTGCGGCATAACCCTCTTAGAAGGAGCGTTTGTCGTTCACCAACGTCGTCTTTCATATGTAGATCGTTCCTGGACGACGTTCATCTGCAAGCTCGTCGAACGAACAATTTTTTCCCGGTGGCGGTTCCTTAAGCGGTGAAAAGGAACTCCGCGGAAAATTCGATAGAAGAGGAGAAATTTCCCAACGTTCGATGAAAGCACTAAAATTCTTTTATTTTTTAAAAAAATCTGTCCCTTTTTAATAAAAAGAAGGAGACGGAAAAAGGTATGACGCTTTGATGAAAGTTGAAGAAGTTGGAAAACATATTTGCGACGTAATTTTTTGGGGAGCCTTAATTAAACGTCTATGGCGTAATTTTTAGGAAAGCTTAATTAAATATCTGTGACATAATTTTTAGAAAATATCGAAGAGTTAAGAGTGAGAAGGATGAACTTGTTCTAATCACAATGATCTCAAAAATTTGTATTCTTTCTTAAATTCAGGAATTTACTAACTTCTCCAACGAATTCGTGGATAATTTCTCATTTCTGCTAAATCAGAGTGATATTACATTAAAAGCGTGCACTAATAATTTGCAAAATTTATTAAATGATTTTTAATTCCAGTGATCAAAAGTATCTAAAAGAGCTAACTTTCTCACTCCTTTCAAAGAAAGATCGCTATGTCATTAAAAACTCAAATTTCGTTCAATTGCATTAGTAATTTTCAAAATTTACTAAATGGTTTTTAATTCCAGCGATCCAGAGTATCTACAATCAACTTTTTCACTCCTTTCAAAGGACGATCGTCAAGTTAATCGTTATTCAGATTTTGTTTGGGTTATCTGGGATAAATCGTAGATCGATAGTAACGTGAAGGAACACCGCCCTTCCTCGTAATTCGCCAGAGTAGAACGTTTCGACTTGGCCAGCGCTAACGCGACATTCGACGCAGCCAAGGTTCGTCTGTCACGCAGCAGGTAATATGCAAATGACATATCGTCACGGTGAAATTTATTCATGGACGCGACCGCCCGCAGCTGCGGCTTCGAAGTTCCCCCGTCGGCACTGTGTCCCCCAAAATTGTCGTAATGAACTTACACGTCCGTGCAAAAGTTACACCTCGCGCCCCGCCGTCGCAGTCCTATTTTACAGCTGAAACAAATCTGCAACTCTCGTTCGCCGCTGCTCGATAAATTATTTAAGTCGAAGCTTATCGATGGTAAAGATGACAAGGATTTTAATTAATATAAATGTCTTCTTCGAGTGAATTCTTGAGGTGTTCTTGAAATTCCTTTCTAGTTCGCTGTCGATTAGTTCTCTGGCTCGCGATTTCTTAGCAATTATGCGTTGTTAGAAGAGGAGAGTATTTGCTAGTCCTTAATCTTTTGAACTGAAACTAAGAATTAACTTGAATTCGGTAATTCCAAAATAAAATATTGCGTAATTTCTAAATATTTAATAATCCTTAATTTTACAAATTGCAACTAAAATTATAATAGAACTTAAAAATTAACTGAAATTTAGTAAACCAAGGTTCACTGAAATACTTAACAATCCTTAATTTTAGAAATTGAAACGAAAATTTAATATACATTGTAAAATTGCAAGAGTTGAGTGAAATTTAATTTACACCTCAATACATCAAAGGTAGCAACACCAGAATAATACAACTGCTACACTAAAGAACCACTGAAGAAGGTACATTACTTCCACCAAACCCAAATTGACCACTCAATCTTCCAAGCACAAATTGTCTTTAAAAGCGTCATGTAAAGAAGATCAAAGACACTCATAAAATATAGCCATCCCGTGAAGTCCAATTAAACTCGCAATTGTATTCACCGCTCACTCTAACGATCTAGAAATTATCAATCTTTCTCCCACATCAATTAGAAACTGGTAGCTGTCCAAGTTTACAGGAACGCTTAAAATCCATCCGCTTTAAATTTAGTTTCGAATTCGATAAATCATTCGGATGTAAAGTAGAACGAAGTTCCACTAGCTAACCAGAAAAATTTCCCTTAATCATCCTCAGGTATTATTTCCCCCCTACTCTCTATAACGAGCCAATGTCGTGAAATCCAACCGAGTCACTCATGGTATCGTTAACCCAGTTCTCTCTTCTTTCACCCCTTCGCGTGTCTTCCACTCTTTTCCTCCGCTTTTCTTCCCCCGGCAAGAACCGAGCCTCGAAGACACGCGACGGCAATTAGGATGCGTCGGTGTGACGCGGAAAAAAAAAATGGGAAAAAATGGAAGAAAAAAACAAATCGAACGCGCGGTTCGACACGGCCAACGCGAACAACACGCTTCTGGCATCGGGCACGATGTTGGCTCGACGCTTGAAATCCGATATTTTTTTGGCCAGGACCCTCTCGTTTGTTCTACTCCGCGCGCGCGCGAGCGCGTCAAAGGATGAGAGATTGCGCCAGGTTACTACATTCCATCGTAATTACGAATCGCCACGAAGGATTCGCCGGTATTTTCGTTGTCTCGTAAACACGTCTCGTTTTTCTCTTCTTCGTTTCTACGTACCGTATAACCGTATCGTATTGTATGTATTGTACACGACGATCAACTCTGTTAAATGGGTTTCGCGACAGTTTGCTTTTAATTGGTTTATGACGGTGTAGAGATGTACATAACGCTTGGCTGTATCATCAGCTTGGGTCCGATGCGGTGGTTTTCTGTTAATTAGATTTTATGTACATACGTTTATGTTGCGCGCTATTAATTTGCACAGCGAGATTGTGTGCTGATATGCGGCAAGGCTTTGCCGGAAAGTTTGATAACGGTGTTTGTCGGCGATTTTTGAGAGAATTCGGTGGATTTCGAGAGCGATACATTTAACACAGGAGCATCGTTTTATTATTATTTTGTTATTTTAATTTCTGATGTTTTCGATGTCGTTATTGTTTGTCAGATTGTAATTTGCAGTGGTACTGCTCCGTTTAGTTAATTTTTGAGATTATTTCTGTGATTCTAACGTTCCGTAATTTTTCCTCTTTATCTCTTCAATTTGTAATGTACTATAATTGCAGCATGTACTATATGGATTTGTATTCGTAAATAAATGAACGAACGAATCATTTAATTATCAAGGCAAGTTGAAATATCAACAAGCAGTGTTTCCTTAATTTGTATTTGAGATTCACTGTGTCCAGCTCTGGCTTATTAAAACGTAAACAGAATACTAAAATAATATAATCATAAAATCTAAAATTAAAAATTTTAAGCAATAATGAAATTTCAAATTTCAAGCAACAATTAAAGAAGCTAAAAATTTTAAGCAATAATAACATTTCCTAATAGATTTTTCTACTCGAAAGGTATCGTTAATTATTGTAAACCTTCCATCACACTGATTCTCCAAAAATTGAAGGAATTTATCTCTCCAGCCACTTCTAATCATCTAAATTCCGTAACATGTGGAAATTTCAATCTCACTCTGGGGTTTAATACGGACGAGTCAAGGTTTCGATCGGAACATTAAGTTGTAGCTTGCAGTCCTGGGAAGGCGTGTTGATTACCGCGCAACGTGTCCCCAGGAAACAATGCGGACATTTTACAGCCGGTGTACAACTGGCACAGTCCCCTTATACTTGTCGGGAACAATGGGTATTATGTAGCGTGGCGCACGCACGGAAATGGCCTCCCCTGGACTTGTTCGAACTAGTTGTAACTCACTGTTCAACTGTGCTCGTTGACGAGCAGCGCAACAATTACGCTAATGCATTGTCCTCGGTTCCTTCGGCTAACGACTATAAACGATCGACGCCCTACGCCCTTCCGACCGATTCGATTAAAGACGACATGGAATGGGCGCTTATATTAACACTAACCGTGCCACGCCCGGTCAAATGACTAGTTTTCGAATT